CAGGAGTTCAGAAAATAATTATGGGGGCTCTTATATTTGGGAGTTGGTGTTGTGCTGACTTGAAAAGAATATTTGTCAACATTAGGGTTATTTACTAATAACAACAATAAGAAAATATGTGAGGACAAATTGACCGTAGGGAACATGTAACAAGGGAATTCAATATTAAAATTACACGTTATGGGGAAATTAACACTACATAACGATTGATATAAAATATAATACTATAAAATTTTAATTGTATAAACAAAGTACTTCCATAATATTAGGAGAGACAAATTCAATTAATTTTTCATCGTTATTGGAGAATTCTGCCTTCTGTACAAAATTACTTCCATATGCATTGCACAAGACATGTCTAAAACGAAGCGTAACTCAGATTTGACTGCTCTGAAAGCAGTCGGTAAAATACGCAGCTATTGGTGCGCGCGTATTAGATGCGCGCGCATTAGATACGCAGCCTTGGAAACCGCTTACACGAAACTCCATAAGACGTGTGCTGCGTCTTAGATGCGCACACGCAGCGCATCTATTACGCGTCTAGGAAACCACAGCCTCACTACACTTTTGTAATGTAGCCTAAATAGCTATTAACACATTTACACATTAAAGACTAAAAAGTAGAAAATAATTTATAAATAAAAATACTTTTTAAAAATGCCACGTTTTTAAGTTTTTTCTTGGTTAAAGCCCTTGTTTATCACAACTGTACTGTTCCTGTTATTACTGTATTTTGTTTTTTTACTTTTAATTTTAGTTTTTTTTATTTATCTATTGACCATCTGTTCACCATTGCTTTTGTAATGAAGAATGTTTTTATGCAACAAAATACTTATTTTATATACTATACTGCTGTTACCCATGGGCTTCTCCCCGTTTGACTTCATAAGTGATAAGTGTTAATAAAACTATTGATTGGTTAAGTTAAGCTGAAATAAACAAAACAGAATACAGTAATACAAACAAATAATCACACCTGATTTTAATAAGGTAATAAATTGAAAGAACAACATACAAATAAGTACAGCTGAGGTATTTTTAACATAATGTATATGGAAAGTAGTGATGGTCAAAACCAAAAATTTCAAATCTCAAAACCGAAACCGAAACTTTAAAAAATTGAATCCCGAATCTAGAATCTCAAAACCTAACCGCGAAACTTTTTTACTTAGCTGGTTACAAAGGTCAAGGTTACAAAAAATACACATACAGTAGACCCCCTCTTAACCGACCCTAATGGGACCGGACCTAGGTCGGATGACTCAAAAGGTCGGTTAAAACGGGTAATCCCTGAAATCATAAGATAATGAAGTGCTATTCATTTGGAATTATATAATCATTATTTTGAAGCCATACTTGCATTATTTATAAAATAAACTACTCGTATCTCCTTTTTCGTATTGACAGAAAAGTCACAAATAAACACAAAACACGGTTCAGTCAAATAGGCCTACTTTCAGTGGAATATATATAATAAAATAATATATATAATACAATAAAAATTAATCAATAAAAATATTTCAATACCGTAACTTTAGTACTGTAATGTATTAATTGATACAGAAAGAACCTTTTGTTGAAATTAAAGATGCAAGCAACCATTTTGTTACAAGACAGGATGTTTATAACCTCTCAATGGAGGCTCCAGGCACAAAAACTATCTTGACCTTTAGTTGTAAACCCTCTTTCCCTGCCCTCCCTACAAGCTGTGTTGTTTCTGTTTGTTTATTCCAGTGATAAGATAATCAGGTAACGCACACTTTATGATGTTATAAATTTGCCGTACAGATAACAAATCAGATCAGATGTGCTCGCACTACGAATGATGATGACAAACTGACAATAGGCTATGCTATAATTTTTGCGATCAATACAAAATAATTTATTCTTAGTCATATCCTGTGGAGATAAGCGTACGGTTCAGTTCTCATCGCCCAGCGTGGGAGCGGAAATGCCGAGATTCCTAGAAAGCGGCGGTTAAACCGAACTGCTCTCAAAGCAAGGTCGGTTAAAACAAACTGTATTATTTTACGATCGAAGGCGGATAATCCGATTATCGGTTAATACGAGGTCGGTTAAGAGGGGGTCTACTGTAATCATAAAATGTTAAGTATACAATCATAACTGAAAGAGATCAACTCCTGACCATGACAAAACATAAATATGTGAATGTGACTGATAATCTTAAAACCGAATACATCATTTTTCATAAACAACCAACAAAACAAATAATTAAACTTCTAACACCAACATAAACATGAATAAATTAATTAGAACATTTAGTGGTCAATATTTCTTTGTGTTTAGTAAATATTGATGTGAAACTGAATTGTACCAGTTATAGTACTTAAGATACCTTTTGAAGTTCAGAATAAAATTTACTTGTTTCATTACTGAATGGTAATGTTTGCTCTGTTGCTACCAGCTTGTTTGGAAACAGTGTTAACACGTTGGGTGCTGATGACGGGAATTCCCGCCATTGCTTAACATTGAAATAAATGCAATTTTCATGTTCAAACATGTCAACGGCACTTTAAGTGTTAAAAAACAGTAACAATGGCACAAAAAAATGTCAGCAGTTTCAAAAATAAAACTGCCAAAATCTTCAATTTCGAAACTCTTTGTGATCGAATCTCGAAACCGAAACTTTTCCTAAGTTTTGATGGTTTTAAGATTTGAGATTCGGTTTTGACACATCACTAATGGAAAGATCCCTTTAGAAAGGAATTACGACCTTAAAGGGTAATTTATGGAATAATGGAGTTTTGCGCAAGGTTTCTCGTCATGACGAACATTTTAAGTATATGGTTTATGGTGTTGCGACTTATAGTTTTCTCAAAAGTTCATGGGTACTTTTGGCTTTATATATAGAAGACTTACCGTCTTCAGGCAATCCATTGCTTTACTTAGTGTACAGCTGTTTTGGCTTTATAAAGCCATCTTCAGCACTTCTTGATAGAGGTTATTTCATAATAAATATGTGAATGTCCTTTTTCTTGTCAACTTGTTACATTTTAAACACGAAAGACAAAACATAAACTTTGGTAGGCCTACTTGTATGTCGTGACATAACCTCACTGTGACATGTGCTCAACTGACAGATAACAGACAACAGGCAATCTTGATGATTTTGTTCTTGTTAAAGGAGCATCAATGCCTTTATTGATATCCTTATATATAATACGTGAAGGCGATTTCTACGAAACACTACTCCTCCGTTAATAATGGACGGATTTTTACAAACGACGTGTCAAAATTAAGTATTTTTTGTGTAGACGCCCCCTTTCACCAATTCCTGTAATAAAAGGCCTCGGGCTTTACTCCATAGGCCATCAAAATACCAATGTATTTCTCATGAAGAAAAGATTTTGTTTATTTAAACAGACAAATAATTTGTATTATTTGCAGCTGTTCATAGTAAACACATGATACAAACTGACAAGAGCATTCGTTTTCAGAGTGAGTTTGTTTTTAGCTTCAAAAACTGGAGTGGATTGAGTTGACTCTTTTAAGTCATCGGAAAATATGAATATTATTCGTTTTGAAATAACGCCTGTAATACTTTGCAATTGCTCGAATTCGAGCAACAGGTGCACTAGTCATATTTATTGCATGTGTGCAGAACTTCCAAACAGTCTTCAAATGGTTAATAATCATGCCCTGAATCCCTGATGTGTGCTGCAAAGTTGGATCATTGAAGGCTGGGCTTAGAACCAATTGATTTAATGTGCTCTTTGTATCTTCAACTTAAATTTACACCCTGTTTGGCCTATATAGAATGAATCACAACTGCCACATCGTAGTTTAAACTCCTTGTTTTTCTATGTCAGGGATTTTTACTTCTAGAGGCTTTGGCACTTTAGATAAGTTGTTGTTTGTTCTAAAGGCAACTGTTACAGGAGTATTCTTGTAAACTTGGTTAGCTAGTTGTTCGGCAGTCTTACTATACTCTACTGTAACAAATGTCTTGACTTTTATCTCTTAGGGGGCTTTGGCTGAATATCTCTATGCATTCTTTCTATGAGTAAGGTTTTATCGCCGTTTTGCTGAGCAATATATTTAATTGTTGTGAGCTCTTTATCTTTGTCTTCTTTGGACAGCGGTACTTTAAGGAGGCGGTTAAGCATGAATTTAAATGCTGCAGATTTGTGGGAACGTGGGTAGTTTGAGTCAGCGTTAATAACTTAATCGGTGTGAGTTGGTTTCCTGTAAATGTTAAATTTGTGGTGCTGTTTCATGATGGTTATATCAAGATAATTTATTTTTTCTTCCTGCTGCATTTCTTGAGTTAACTTTAACTTAGGATGTAGGCTGTTGTTTATGTAGTTGCTGAGTATGTTTTTCTGCCTGTGTTTCCCTTGTACAAACATATGATATCATCCACATATATCTTCCAGTAAATTATTTTATCATGGCACTTATTGTTTTTAAGTATGCGGGTTTGTTCGATGTTCAGGAAAAGCTATGCTAAGATAGATGACAATGGGGATCAATGGCTAATCCCTCTGTCTGGCTATAATATGACTTTTCAAACACAAAATAATTTTGTGACAGGACTAGTTGTGTTAAATTGAGGACTGAGGAGTTCCTTTATTTGGATCTTCTTCAGCGTTTCATCTGATATATAAGGATTTTTCTTCTTTTACCGGTCCTAAAACTGTTTCACTTGAGTCTACTATCATACTCTTTATCTTGCAGCATTTTTCTTCAAAGCTATTAGATTCATCTAGAGCTGCAATAGTGTTTGCAGCTATAGACTAAATTCTCTCCTCCCACCCTCCAACCAAATGGAAATTTAATTATTGTTTCAGCAGAGCATGTAAAGTATCTTATACGCAGGCCAGGTTAATCTTTTAAGTACGGTACCTATATCTGTAAATATTAATTGTTTGTTTATTATGTCAGCTAAAAATTTGTTTTTTTTTATATCCGATACCTTTAAGCTATTGGTAACAAAACATGACAACATTAGTACTATTTATTACCAAGAAAATACTCACTTTAAAAAGATGCTTGTTGTGATACATAGAGTTCCTATATGTTAAAGTACGGACTTCATCTTTTAACATTTCCTCATGAATTCCAAAATGTGCATAGGAGTCGAAATAATAGTCTCTTGATGTCATTTCATCAACTTTTACTTCTTCTTTCATGCCATCACATTTGTCCCCATTGATTGCAGATGTGGGGATGATTCCATTTTCTGAGGTAACTTCCATTGTCTCCATATCAATAGTGTGTCTGTAAACAATAAAAATAATATAATATGTATAAAGTGGACTAACATCCACAATAATTTATTAAACAAACTCGTTTCTTTTCTACATGTCTTTTGTGATTTCAAACTAGGCAATTCTAAATATTCAAAAAAAGCTTGGCCTAATTCAAAATAGTTGTATCACAATACAAGATCTGATTACAGACATTAAAAAGACGTAGAACTGCCAATTTCAAGTTATTGCAGGTGAAAGACTAGTAGTTAATACAAGCTGTGTGCCCGTTCTACGGACGGGGATCTTGTAGTCAGTTGAAACCCTAGGCCTATTATATTCAGATCAACAGATGGATTGCATATTAAGTGTGCAGTTTTCCAGATATGCTTGCAAACCTATTATAGGAATACTCACAACATTCAAAAACACAATATCTGATAGTTTCAAGCCAACCCAAATGCTTAGCAATCAAATGGCACCTGGATATAAATCTTTTTTGTTCTATTTGATAAGCAATGATTAACTCAACATTAAACTGGTTCTTGGGAAAAGTACAGATACCGAGAGTCGTCGTCGAAATTTGGTTGTGGATGATTGGGTAACGTCAGATGGGGCTACTTTGAACTGTGGGGCTATTGTGAACCAAAAGTAAAAATTTGTTTGACTCTGTGTAACACACATTAAATCTGTCATATCCTGCATCTAATACACATTTTCTAATTCCTTGGTTTATTATTTTAAGAATATCCTAAAGTTTAGTTCAATATTGTTTTTAAAAAATAAAAAAAATGTTAACTGAGACCACGTTTTTTTAATAAAAACAAACCCACACAAACTCTTTCGCATACACAAAAAATTAAAAAACAAAATCGTAACTATCTTCTGAGATCGTGGCAACATCTGCAATCTCCCAGTATAGTGATTTTTTACTTGACACAAAAGCATTTGAATCGCCGTTGTTAATAAGTGGAAACCTTGATTTGAGGCTTCTGGCGCCAATGATTTAAAAAATGTAAGTTTCCCAGGCATGTACAACACTGATTCTCTGTCTTTTTTTCCGGTTATCAAAACTGAAGTACAACTTGAAAAAGGTCGCCGGTTCGATCCTGAGATTTGTCAGTAGCTTAAATATCAACCCGCCATGTTAAACTTCCCTATGCCAAGCGAGATGTTTACAACTTTTTTAACTTCATGAGTGATGTAAAGTTGAAAAAACTCACTCAGTGAGATAATGAAACCCATTTAAATAACATTGAGTGCTTAACTTAAAAAAATATATACCTCTATGGAGCCAACGAAATTCAACGCTAGAAATCAGCTGTGCGCTTGAATTTTATTGTTATGCTTTGAAGAATTTTCCTAACCTAGCTTTTGTTTGTAAATGAACGTTACTGTTAGAAGATGAGTGAAATGGATAATGAAAAATATTGTTCGTAACCTCCTGTATATTGTCGGGTCAGGTAAAATCTTGTACGTTACACGCTACGCAAGAGCGTGTTTACATCACTTAGGAGAATTATGCAACAACATTCACCTGCCTGATGTAAAAACGCTCACACTTGTAATGTAAATAGCTATTATATGTAGTGATGGGAGAATCGAATACTTTAAAGAATCGAATACAGTGAATTCGTAGCCTCCCCTGTATTCGAATACTTTTACGAATACTTGTATTCGAACACCTTTGAGTATGCAAAGCATGGAAAATGAGTGTGTAATTCTTTTTTCATATTGCAACCGATCTTTTGGCCACTGTTATTTCGTTTTACAGTAATTAATTCATTAATATAATTTATTCAATGTAATTTTAAATTATACGATTTTTAAAAGGTACATTTATTTTGACTTATAATTATTTCATGGTCAGTTACAGTCTTATTAATGTATTATTTTCTATTATATTAACTAATTAATATCATCTTTAATAATATGTCTTATTCATTTGTATGGATAATTTAAATCAGATATGCATGTTATTTTGCCATGTAACTATATAAATCGGTTGTAGTTATAATAAATTATATTCAATTGCCCTCTACCAGTAGTAACCTAATATTTTAAATATCCAATATATTCTAAATGTTAACGATTAATAATAATCTTATGTAAATTATATGGCTAATGGTTAAAATTATAACGAATAGATGAAAACAAATGCTGCAGTAAAAACATTAAATACTCTTACGAATGCTAAACGGATTAGTAAGATATTCAAAAGGGAATTCAGTAGTTGAAAAAGTGTTGAATACATTTTTGAATCCCCCGAATTCGCTTTCTAGATTCAAGAAATCCTGCAAAATCTGAGGTCAAGAGTATTCACAAAAAAGTATTCGTACGAATCTGAAGTATTCGAATCTACGAATACTCGGGCTGTATTCGAATACTATTCGATTCTGTATTCGATTCTCCCATCACTAATTATATGTCTGTTTAATACATAACCATAACCTTATTATCTCTAATCAGATGTTTTATCTTTACTTTCAAATGCTTGTTTTTATGTTTTATATTTTTAGAATATCTCGGGAGCAGAACCTGTACCTCTTAACCTCTGTTCTTCAAACTGTCAAATTGAAGTATTTACAGCTGACTTAAATTAATTGATATATTTACATTCTTTCAAAATGTAAACATGGTAAATTTGGAAGCCCATGGGGCATAACCCAAGGGAAATATGAAAATTAAATTATATAATATTGCATTGTCATCCATTTGTGAGCTGTGAGCTGTTTCAAGTTTCAAGTCTCTAGCTCATCGGGAACTTAATTTAAAATTGATATCAAAATTTGTAAGAAAGCGAGCTAATAAAAACAAGCCTATGGGGCGTAGCCCAAGGGAAGTATGAAAATTAAATGACATAATATTGCATTGTCATCCATTTGTGAGCTATGTTTCAAGTTTCAAGTCTCTAGCTAGAAACAGCCTGAATCGCTTCCTTTATTTGTCCTTTTCCTAGACTCAGTGTAGCCTATTGTGCATTCTTGTAAAGGGCAATTATTGTTATCAATTATCAATCAGTGGGATGGGCATGTCACCTAGGTGTGTTTTTATGATATTTCGGTTACCGGTATTTGGTATTTGTTATTCCATCTTTTAGAGCTTGGTGTCGTTTAATATGCAATTTTAAATGCTAAATAAAAGGGTAGGACTACTTGATCTTTTTTCATAAAACCAATCATTTTTTAGCAATTTGAATTTTTTTTTATTGCCGCAATTTTAAAATTCTGAATTGGATAAAGATAACTTTTTCCTAACATGGGTCTCTTCTACTTTAACATGTACATACTAAGTTTCACAAGTAATGATCAGTTGGAACAGTTCAAAGATAAAAATGTTTGTGTTAAAAATACAAAATGGCGGACACTTAATGAAACAATTTTGGAAATTATGTTGCTTTTGATTTTCTCTTTATTTTAACCCGTAGAACCTTTTCTGGAGTTTGAGTGTTTACTACGGAACACAACAAAAGGTGAGCGAGCGCAGCGAACAAACTTCAACCAGTACGTGATTACCAGTACAGCGATGCGAACGAGTTTATCTTGGAAATAAACGTGCATTTGACATAAAACCACATTAGGACAGGACGACGTCTGTCGGGCTAGCTAGTAATAAATAAGTAGGCCTAACTTATTCACCGCAAAGTTGTTTTTATTTAGGGTAGGTCTACAGTTCAACAGAGAGCTTGCAATAGCCTATATTGTCGGATTAAATACCAATATTAGGCTAATCCTATATTGATTTTTATTCGGTTTGGTAAGTTATATTGTTTCTAATATATTATTTTCCCCATGTAATCATTGGATAGAGTTACAATCTGTTAACGCTTAGGTATATTGATGTTCAATAAATGTAAACAGTACATTTAGTAATTATCTATATTTACTTTTTTATTGATGTTTAATAAATGAAACTATCAATACTTTTATGTAACCAAAAACTAAATATATTTATTAACCGTCTAGTACACGCACCGTGGACTCAGAGTCCGCACATTTGAAAAAGCATGCCGAAATAAGTTAATCCGCGAGCTAATGACATGACGTGCCATCTCCCTTTCTACACTACCTTTAAAAGGAGAGTGGTTTTGTTTTGTCCGTCTTAGCGTCAGTTGGCCCTGAGCTATAAGGGTGTAAAGTTAGGCGTGTTTAAGAGGATGAAGAACAGGTCGCCCAGTGATTGACTGATTGGTTTTCAACAGGACATTTTCAATTTGAATTATTTGTAACTATTTTGAAATTTATCTATATCTATTTACATATATATTTGTAGGTATTATATGAAATTTTGATGCTTTATGAACTTTATTAACTTAGGTAGGTATATAAAAGAGCGTTTTCAGTAAGAAGTAAGACACGGAATGCCAGTCCGCGCGCGTGTACTGGTGTTACTATTAGCCGCGCGCGTGTACTGGAGGGTAAACCATTAACAAAACAAACAATAACTAAAATTTGGGTTTCCTTGCAGTAGTCAACACAACAATTAGGTTTTACTGGATGCCTAAAATGTTATTACAGGTTAATCAGTCTAAATCACGTTTACCCATTTCTAGATTAACCGGAGATCTAATATTTGGCACGATTATAGGTCTTGCGTCCATTTTGAAAAGTGAATTTACAATAATAACCCCCCACCGAAATATCGACTTCCCCAAAGTATGGGATCTTAAGTTAACGGCAAAATTTGAAAACGCCCCATTTTTAAAATTGAACCCCCCCATAAATCCAAAATGGCGGACATCTAAAAACAACAAAACATATTTTTTTGAAATGGCTATTATCTCGAAAACGGTAAGAGTTAGAAACAATTTGATGGGTAATCGTAGGTTCGGAATAACATTTTCTACTAGACACTATTATGCGTTTTTTGAAATCGCACTCATTCACCTTCATAAAACGCTCTTCTTTCAAAATTTTGTAAATTTCTTTCAAATTTTTAACGGTCTTCGCTATTTTTTTGTACCTAAATAATTCTTTTTTGCAAATATTATTAATGCTTTGTATCTTCCTTAGTTTACTTTAAATTTTACTC